TGGAACCCATTTACATTGGATCTGAAATGCTGACCTGCTCGTTGAAAGTGATGAATTTGACAAAATTGGCTCCGCACCACCACCCCTGCCTTATGGAAAATCTTTCCTTATGAAAGATCTAACAATGTTTCCCAAATATTAGGATGGCAATTTGTTTGGGAATTCTCAAGTAATCTCCTTAATGTTCATCTCTCGTGACGTTCGGCGGAATGAGTGCGCGAAGTGCCAGCAAATTCTGTTGCGCACCATGCTGAAATTGCTCGTGGCCCTCTGAGAAACACGGCCTTCCCATCCAGAATGAGTGAATTCGGTTCCTTACTCCTCGGAGCGTTTAGTGGGTCCATGATTGGTACCCAGATAAAAACCAAAACGCTGATAATTCTTGCGTGCCGGAAACTCTCAATGTTGTAGTTCAGTGATCAGTTCAAGTTCAGTGATGGCGGCAGAATCACTCAGTCATTATAACAATCATACATATTGGTGGCCAAATAAGATAATCATGAGCAGGTGAACACAACAAAACCAAAATGAGCGCAGCAGTAAACAGCATCTTTGAATAGTTGCTCAAATTGTATGCGCATCCGTTGTCGCCGTAATTTTGGCGCACCCTGTATTGTTTACTAATAGAGCTTCAAGTTTGGCCGTGGTTCAACTAAGCACATAGCGGCGAACTAGTCGTAAAACACGTCCAATCTTTATTCTCTGTCCACAAAAATTTGAAAGTAGTTAACTTTGGGGAGCCTTGAACTATGACATTTTATAACTGTGAAAAAAATTCGGAGTAGCTGCCATCATTTTTGACGCAGGTCTTAGCTTGTTTCTTCAGTGACTCGAAGGTGCGCCGGAGGTGTTCAGCACATTTCATTCCAAATTTTAGGCAATTATTTCCAGAAGCACCAAAATTTTTGCATTTCTATTCGTTACAGCTAGGAGTTTCAAGGGCAGGGATAGCCGAGTGGTTAAGAGGTTAGACTCATGTCTACCCCTCAGAAAAACCGCGAATTCGATCCCTGCCGAGGCTCTAAACCATCAGGCTCCCCGACCGTCGTTGCTGCAAAGGACAACGGGGGGGGGGAGAGGGTCGTATTGGCCAATTGATGAGAAGACGTGCCGATAACCCCAAAGTACAGGCAGTTTGAAAGTGCCAAACACAATGGTAAGTCGCAAAGGAGGACCGGACTTATTAACTGCCATCTGCCACTTCGCACACGATAAAGACCGCATGAAATAGCAGCGAATCCTAACTAAGAACCGTCATGCTTCCTAGTTTAGCACAGACGCAGAAAAACCTTGCAGAGAAAACTGAATGATTTTTAAAGCCAATCAAAGTGGAGATAAGAGCAGCGAATGGTTGATTGACCTCTGAGAAATAATAATACCTATGCAGGAGAAAAGTTTTCTTTCAAAGTATTCTTATATCCTGCAGATATTACTGATCTTCCTGACTTCAGTGGTTCTTATCGCTTCGCTCATGTTAATCGACTTTAGAAAAAACTTATGCTCATTTGAAGGTGAAAAGTCCTTCCAAGAGAATGGCCATAAAAACAGCTAAGAAAAAAAGAACAGCGGGACGATTTTCGAAAGAATAGCGTCATTCAGAAAATCTTGGCATTTTTTCAGAAGGGTCAGATCTATTGTTTAATTAGCTTGAAAATGTGCAGTAATAATGCTAAAGGATAGAAGGTCTTGAATAACCGAAAACTCACGCGTTCTCAGAAGCGACTCACAACCCTGAAAAAGAAACAACGAGGCCTTTTGGAAAGAGTGATCTTGAAAAAAAAACCTCGTACATATCGAGAAGCGCTTTATCTCCTACTTACTTAAATAGTTTTGAGAAATCTGCAAAATGTTGGACAATGAACGAACATTCCAATTGATGAAAACTTCGCGTATAGCACAAAAAACGCGACCAACGGGACCTATTCTTGAGAATCGAACATTTGGAAATTAACAACTTTTTGGAAAGAAACAAGTTTGAATAGTCTTTTATAAATTTTTGTGATCCACTCACAAGAGACTGCTTTTGAAAGAAAAAATAACCTTCTGAATGAAGAGGTTCGGATATCGCACGTAATCGCTCAGTTAATTTACACAGCTTCCAAAAAAGGATTCGCAAGCTCGAAAAAAACTTGTTTGGGTTCTAAAGTAGAAATCTCTGGCTATTGCTATGCTATGCTGGCGTTACGCAAAACATTTTGGAAAAAATTGTTTCTATTTAATGAGTAAAAATTCAGTTGCTAATGACCCCGTTTCTTGATCTAGACAAAGCACCGGGACTTACACTCGTTACCCACCTGTTCATGTACGGTGACCCGCCCATTACCTCAGATGATGGCCTGGGGCTACGTTAAAAAATAAAAGCTTAACTAAGCGATCACGGCCTCCAGAGGCAATGACACCATTCTGCCTTTTACACTCTCACACCTGAATGTCTGAGTAGCACGGCGCCAGCTGAAGCACGAACTTCTCTCGTTACGACTTTCAAATTCTGCTATCCAACGGGTCAACTCGTGTTCTTAGCTTTAGGCGTACAGGAAGGCCTTGCGAGCAGGGTCAGCGTGCGTTGAGCCAATCTAAATGTTTTTACGACCCCCACCCTTTTGAAGGTATCAAGGAAGACGACCTCCTGTACTCCGCAATTTGCGTCTTTTTACATAGCCCCCAGGTCCATCACGGATAATGGGCCGTCAAACTTTGAGGACCCCATGGGAAGAGTGAGTGCAGTGGTTAAGTACCGTGCTTGTCTAGCTCAGAGACGGGATCGAGGCACATTAAATTGTTTATCATTGATAGAAGCATTTTTAAATTTGCCGCGTAAACCAGGCATGGCACTAGTAATAGCAGAGCTTCTACTACAGGACGAAAACAAGTTTTTTTCCACGAGCGTCCAAATCCTCTTTTTCAGAAGCTGTATAAATAAACCCTGCACAGATTACGGGCGATACGAATTATTCATTCAGAGGTATTCTTGTCATTCAAAAAGCAGTCTCTTCAGATGGCGACATAAAAATCCTTAAAACTTCAACTTGATTCTGTACCAAAAAAGTTTTCCATTTATCAAATGTTCGATTGCTTCAAAAGAAATCGCTGCCGTTGTTCCTTTTTTCATACGCGAAGTTTTCTATCATCAAAATGTCGTTTTATTACCAAACTTTTTGCAGAATTCCAAAGCTAGTTTAGAAACGTGAGTAAGATTAGCGCTTCAATAGGTAGCGAGACGACTTTTTCAAAGAATCACTTGCTCCAAACATAGCCTTTTGCTCACTTTTTTCAGGGGTTTTGAGTCGCTTTAGAGAACTGCCGACTTTGTCATTCAACCCTTCATAACTTCAACATGCAATTCGACGCATTGTGATGTGCCGATCAAATGTAATAATTTGAAACGTCCAAATATAAACCTTAGAAAATCAAGACTTATTCACTTTGCAAGAAATGTCCCCAGTAGTTAAAAAAACCTGAGTCAATTTTGCGGGGAAAGTAGTTTTTTGCGAAGAAGAACACTTTACTCACCTAATGAGCACAGGTGTTCGGATTGGGACTAATTTTGATTTAACTGCATACACACAGGAACGGCGAGAAACGTCTTAACAACCCCAGATACACCGTGCCCCAAAGCAAATTCGGACCACTCCCAGTTTCAATCCCAACACTAGCCTGAAGGCAGCGGAAGCCGAAGATTACGATGCATTTTGGCGTAGCAGTACAAATCGCAGTGAATTTGCAGCACGTTCTTCGCGAAAAGGGAATCTCAAAAGGTAACCTACAGCAGCGGAGGGAGACAGACGGAGATTGACCATGTGTTGGTACGAAGATCAACCCTCAAAACTGTGAAGGATATCAAAGTTCTACCCGGCGAAGATCTGGCTCCCCAGCACAGGCCCCTCCTGGCGTAATAGACCTCCCCAAGAAGACAAGAGTAAGAACCGAGAGGAGAATCCGGTGGTGGAAGCTGCACCAAGCGGAGAAGTGTGACCTCAGGCGAAAGATAATGGAAGTCGGTCTCCCAGATCCTAACGGGCCAATTCAGCGGACTTGGGCCAGCGCGGGCGATATCATCCTGCGATGTGCCAAGGAGGTCCTCGGCGAGACGCGAGGTGGATTCAGAGGAGATAGGGCAGCGTGGTTCTGGAGCGAGGAGGTCCAGCGAGTCGTGAAGCAAAAGAAAGAGGCATACAAGCGCTGGCAGAAGACCCGTAGCCTCGAAGACCTCGCTACCTACAAGAGTTGCAAGAGGCTCGCCAAGGCTGCTGTCGCCAAGGCGAAGAACACGGCGATGGACGCCTTGTACGAGAAGTTGGAAGGCAGAAACGCAGAGAAGTTCGTCTTCAGGCGCTAAGGCCCGCCATCGCGCTACTCAAGACATCAGAGTGGTGAAAAGTGTAAAAGGCAGCGATGGTGTCATCCTAAGAAAGCCAGCCGAAGTCAAGAGGAGGTGGGAAGAGTACTTCACAGGGCTTCTGAACGAGGAGTTCCCCCACAAGAACGACTCACGGGCAGAGGCCGCAGCTGCTCCCACCGCACTCTGGCCTGAGGATGAGGTTAGGCGTACACTTGGAAGGATGAAGGTCGAAAGTGCGTTGGTCCTTCCCAGATGGAGGTGCCAACTCGAGGATGGAAACACTCGTAAGCCAGTAACCGGCGCATAGAAGAGTTGGCTTAAAGTGGCCAATGTCTCTCCCCAATGGCTCAAATTGGGTGCGTTCAGTTTTTCCTTGTGTCGTCAATAGAGGAAATAAGGAAGAACACCGCGACACAATAGATAACTGTCGATAACCTGCCACGATAGGCGTAAAGGTAATGAAGAGAAAATAACTCGTGTTCGAAAGTAAAAACTTCCAAGTGTTAGACTCAGCGGAAATTTTAGCTAATAACCGTCGTACGATTACCTTCGTACTAAATGTTAGGCCCGAAAATGTAGCACAACATTACCAGAATAACCTACGATATTAGGCACCATAACAGAGAAGGTCGAAATCTCAGATCGACAGGCAGTGATTCACTAGACCGAAGGCACCCAGATGACCGTCAGACGCAACGCGAACGAGCCAGAAAAGAACAGAAACTTGACCGCCGTCCGAGCCTGCTTCACGAGCGGGAGCATCGTGGGTATGGTAAGATAAGTATGGCGCTGCATGAGGTGCTCGACGACGCCTACAAACTGATGTTAAAAAGCTCAAGAAAGCCCGATCAAGCTGAGGACAGAATCGCAATAGATTGAGAGTGAGAAATAGAACTAAGGATTATGAATACCATACAGAAATAAATGAACCTAACATATAAGTGACAAATGAACTATGGTAAGAGATAAAGAAATCAGCGTATTCGTCGGCCGATACTTCCCCCCGGTTCCCGATAGGTCAATACTACCCAGACAGGAAAAGAAAGAGGAGAATATAAATCAAGTAATTAGAGGAACAGATTCATCATACGGATCTGCATGTTGCTTATTCTGTTTGTCTCGTTCACACGAGCTACCTGTTGTTCCGGTCCTCCCGAACTGATTAAACGTCTCGTAACGTGCACGAATTCCGAAATCGTTTATCGTAGGCCATTACCATACAGCCCCCACCAGAAGGACGAACGTCACTGAAAGCGTGCACTCGGCGCACCGTGTACAATCTCGTAATAGTAACGAAGAGGACGAGCATCAGCTGTTGTATTTCTGGCAGCTCGGGCCAGCTGCGTGCATATCCTCGTATAGCGACCGACAGGATTTTGGGACAGAAGACCCTAAAAGAACATCAGTGTGTGCTGGCCACTTTCCACGTGGTCCAGGGTCAGTGTGCATATATTCTACACGGCACACAAACAGTCCGAGCATAATTTCAGTGTGAGGCTGAGCACTTCAGGGCCAGCCGTGAGCATATATCCTTAGCATCATGATCACCGAGACAACGGTCCGATGCGATCAGTGTAAGTGGGCACTTCGGGCGCAGGCAGTGAGTCCATTTAAAGAATATCTTACCAGCTCACGAGAACGGTCGAGCATCCAGTTGTAATTTTCTGGCACCCTAGCGGGCCAGCAGTGAGCAATGTAAAATGCCTTGACAGCTCACAAGGTTGCTGATTTGAGCAGAGAGCCATCTGAAAAGATGGCTTAAGAAGCCCGGTAGGCGCGAGTTGAATCAATGTCGCTCCCAATAGCTCGGTTCCTTCCTTGTCCGTGAGCAGCCTGTGCGCGAAGATCGTCCTGGCTCTAATTCCCAATCTCCCGGAATTCTCCGCGACATCCTCCTAGTTGATTGTGCTCTGAACGCTCCGGTTCAGCACACAATGCGGGTGGTGCTGGCTGGAGCCAGCAATAATCGGCAAGGTTCCTCTTCTCTCGTTACAATGGGCCATGCAGTTTGTGATGGGAGTAGCGCACATGTACCTATCGATCGTCACCCTCGAGCAAGTCTCTTCTCTAGTAACTGGCCCCTGGCAATCGTTGGACATGCGTCGGAATAATGGTCACACAGTGCAAGACTAAATGCCGCAAGGTTGCTCAGTTGTCAGGAACGTGCGGGTAAGAACTTCGCCTTGGCGTGTGAGCGTCTCTCTCGTTCAACTGGTCTCACTCCTGCTCCGCTTGGTACTTCAGAGTCCACGAAGTTCCAGAGTTGTTGCTTCTACAGTTGGCTAACTCTTCACGTTTCGGGCGTCCTCTTAGGATGTCCGTGGTGGGAATGGAATTCACCTTTCTTGTTGTCTTTCTTGAGATGCCGCAGCAGCTTCACGGCCAGTAAGCTTTCTGCTGCATGTCCGGTGAACAGCACGGTCGAGGAGCTTCTCAAATCGACGTCGCTGAGGTGGATCTCCGATGACTCACGATGATTTCCTCCTGTCCTTCGTTTGTCACACTTCCCTTCCATCCAGGACTACGAGCCCTTCATCTGCTGATTCTTTCGTCTTCCGAAGAAGATGAGGTTGTTCTGGCAACTGGCTCGCTCGCCCCAGTGAACGTCCAGTCGCGCTGATCTTCGGGCTGGCTCTCTCCATCAAAGTCTGAGGCCTCCGAAGAACCCAGCATTCCCCCTACTGAATCCGTCATGCTCCTCGTTTTCGCGATGTTTTTGCGCTCCAACGTCCCTCGTTTGGAATAGGTGCACTCGCACCCGCCGGCCTTTCACTGAATTTCCACTTCGTTGCTGGGAGTAACCCATAGCCGGCAAGTCTGTGGTTTTCGGTCTGTCCTGGTTTCAGCGATGTTGTTAAGATTGCTTCGAGTTCTTTCGAAAACAGAACTTTCTTCTTCGACGATTGTTCTTTCTTCTCGGCGCGCGCTACAGCCTCGGTGTCTTCGGCTGAGCCAATCGTCATAGATTAGGACGCGTTGGAGTCTGTCATAGATCGTCTCATACCAGCTGATTTGGATGCTGTAGTGCCTCCAGAAATTCCAGGTTAGTCCCCCCCGTGTTAATGAAGCTGGTCTTGTTCCTGTGGGTCGAGTTGAGTGCTGGTTCTCACTGTCTAGGTGCGTTCGTTGCAGAACGATACGGCCACATCTCCGATGTAGCCCGTCCCTTTGGCCAATGAGGCCAGCAATATTGCTTCTGGAGTAGCGACAGCTGTGTCCGAAGCCAATCTGGCAACTGTACCGTGATTTTCTCTTATCTGCTCTTCCACGTTTCCAAATGTAAAGGCGAGACAATGTAGGGATGTGTCGTCGGTAGCTTTTTAGGAGCCGTCAACCGTTGGTGATCTCAGCTGGAGTACTCGCTCTGGAACTCGTCATTTATATGTCCTTATCGTTTGAAACCAGAATTCTCAAATAAACTCTCTGTGGGGAAGTTGACCAAGTCGCATGCGATCAAGTTGCTTGTTTTGTTTTTCTCGTACTCTTGATTTGCTGATTTTCTGCATGCGCCAGATTCAGAAGTAATTGCGATGCTTGGAGCAGGTTGTTCAGTGTAAGACATCAGTGTTGCGATCCAGGCTGCATTGAGGGTAAATAAAAAATGCAATGTGCTACGAAAGGGAAAAAAAAGAAAATATTAGAAAAAATCTAATATATGTAGTATATTGTAAATTCTATGTTACCTGTATGACAAGTACTCGAACCCCTCAAAGATGTTTTTCGGTGGAGCGCTTTGCCGGCACATGAATTTCCGTCATTGGCAGTGCCCATAACATTGCAAAGCCGAAAGGGAAGACCATAAGGGGGGGGTGTAAGCTTTTGATTAAGGGCGCCTGTGTAAGACAAGAACGCAAAACTAGGTTCCGTAGTCGGGCCTCTTTTACGCTTATTTTTTCGGAGAAAAGATTTGGAGCGAGGACTCAGCTGGTTCTATTATTCACTCGGCTAGAAGCTAACTAACAATTGCTCTTTGTACCAAACTTAATAAACTTCCCGCGATGGTGGCGAAGTCGGGGCATTTAAATTCGTAGAAAATGTGCATGTTCCGTTTCCAGTATGTTCCATGTCAGGGTCATTGAAATCGTTTGGTGTATTTCAGAATTCGCAAGTGAGTGGTCGAGCTATTTCGTCACTTCTCACATCTAACTAACCAGTTGAAACTGTGACGAATCGAGGTGGAAACATAAGCTATCGTCTATGGTGTAAAAGGACCACAAGGAAGCCGACAGAACATGAACCGCCTGGTCGCATCGGATTTTCTCCAATGGCTAATCTACAGTTGAGTGCACTATGAATCTTTGCTTGTGCTCCCTTTCGAGCAGTGTAGCAACCATCTCAACCACTGTGTTCACACTTCCCCAAATATCCACCCGTAGTTACGACTTGGGTGGAGCGCTTCGATCGTTGTGGTTGAATCTTCTTTTCACCCCCATGAAGTCTGCTCGACACCAGTCATGACTCTTGCCTGTTAGCTACGAGATTTTCGAGACGTTTCAACATTTCCCAACTGCTGTTCTGATTGGGAGTTTATTACGGATTTTCTTGGAACTCTTACTTACTTAACATCCGTACTCTGAGATACACATTTCGCGCTGTTTAGAGCGGCGTTACAATGTGCAGTCGTCAATCAGAGAACAGTTCAGCCATCTTAACAGAGCATGCTCTGGTGTTGAGCAGAGAAGTCCGGTTCTGACTCTGTTTCTCCACCCTAGGCGATGCTCTTTAGACCGTCTGTGTATGGGGAACCTCGATGTACACATCGATGCGTTGAGGTATACGGGGGAAACAGCCCGGTCAAGTAAGCCTAAACAGTCAGATCATTTGGCAGATCTTGTTTGGGACATTCCGGAAATCAGAGCACTACATAGCTACGTATTCCTTTCGAAATCCTGCTTCTGCAATAAGGTTATTGAGTTTTATTTTCCATATCGGTCCATCTCAGACACTTCGAATAATTTCATAGACGTTTTTTTTCGTTTTCTGGAGGCACTGCAATCAAGAATGCCTACTATAATAGGCACCTGCACTGGGAACGCAACCGCCATCCCTAGACCCCCGCATGAACCATGTCATCCAGTTCACCTCGGAAAGGCGTGTTTCCTTCTTTCAGTCGCTCGAATCGAGAGTGGACGCATTTATTCCTTCACATTTAGCGTCTCCACATAAACGCCATTAACGGACCATCTCTTGCTGCAATATTGTTTCAGCCCTAGTTGCTTCCTGGTGAAATACCTACGTGAGTCGCGCTCGGCACTCTCAGGTAGAGTCCCCCTGTTCCAGTGTAGCTTACATTCGCTACCTCCAGCGTGTATTGTTTGGTGAAGGCCGTAGGCAAGACGCTTCAGCACGATGATATGTATTGATTCTCCCAAGAGCTCGTTGAGCTCTTACCTTGCTAGTCTGTGAGTGCCCATTAATTTAAAAAACCACGTCCGTTAGGTGATGTTCAAGAAACATTCACATGTTGCGTGCATGTGTGTCCACTGACTTTATACTGGGCCATCATCAATGATATTGCTAAAGCTGCCAATCCAGGCGTTTCTCCGGGAATTCCGTAATGATTTCTTCGAATCGAATACGTGCCTTAAGAAGCACGCATAGAAGGTCTAAACGAATATCCGGCATCATGCGAAATACTCTTTAAAACCATGAGCAATCGCTGCTAATAGAAGCCGATAGAATCCTAAGGGTTTTCGCTAACCGTCCATATGCGAACATATAGCCAGCAGCATGACAAATAGCAAAGGCAACTGAGCCGTAACAAGCAATAGCCGCCGATTGAAGGTCCTATGGATGCTATAGGTGCCTACTGGTTAAAATAGGGCTGCGCAACACATCCAAGCCAGTACCAGTTGTTCAAACCAGAAGTTTTCTAGCTACACAGTTGTTTTCGCATTACTGCGAGCTGTTTCACACAGTTCGCCATTTAAAAGTCAGTGCTAATGGTCATCGTAAAGTGACTATGTGTGATACTTCACTAAGGCATGGAGTCGAGTCGACTCTGTGAAGTTGTCATAAGGTACCGCGCACAACTCTAATTCGTCATGATATTCCTGTAAGTGTAATGAGTACTTCCGCGAGGGTACATGTCATCTGCGTGTTTGGCCTGTGGAGCTAGTAACGGCAGGTACATCAACACTGCAGGCAATAATGTAAAAAGGAACCCAACTTTAAGAAACCTATTTTGGTCCTAGGAACCCGGAGACCCGTAATTCTTTTCATGTCTGGCCGTGTTATAGTAACGAGAGGAGCAAGTTATAGTCTAGGCTCTAATAGAAATCGCTGCTCGTTTCAAACGAAAGTCCTGACGCGATGCTTCAGCAGTTGCTACTGGATGTGCATCCAACTAGAAATGCTCCTCGTTGATGATTTACTCCAGTGGTACCCTAGTTTAACGTGGGGCGACGAAATTTTACGGCGCGTAGATGTTATACAAGTTCTACTTCGCGTACAGCGCCATCAGAAGCCTAGCTTCTGTATTCGTGAATGCGGGCCATTCGCCCGATCCAATTCGAGAAGATACGGTCGCAATACTAATACTACATCCCCCGAACTGTTGGCGAAATACTGCCTGGCCGTGGCCCGTTGATTCGTTCACACCGCCGACTTT